AAGTTGGCGTGATAATTTTTCACTTTTAGTGGTAATGTGGCATTACCTTCTGGTGACACGTCAGTCTTACTATTAATTTTTAACAGCTGATGACCAAAACGTACCTTTATATACGATTTAAAAAAGTTAATAGTTGGGTGACCAAAATAGAATCAAAGTGATAGTTTAGTGACTAAATATGTAGTTTACCCTAAAATTTATTAGAAAATGTGAAATTATTTTAAGATTCAATTGTTCATATCAATGAGCCAACGATAAGCTTCATCGTCGATTATATTTTCAATGTTATATAAATTGATTGTATTAGTTGGCCTCAATTTTTAGGTTGCGAGCTAATGAATTTGTGATAAAAAAATCTAATTTTTATGACAATTTGATAGACGATGGAGTATGAAATTGTTTAAATTGTTAAAGAAATTAAAATTTTGATTGGAAGGGTGTGTTCACATAAAGGAAGACGATGAGAAAGGTGAAGGAAATAGATCTAAAATTAGGGTTTGAAGAGATTCCGAATTTTATGAATGGTTTGATTAAGTTTCTATTCCCATTTCCTATAATTTTTGCCGTCTCATTTCATTGAATACGACAAGGAAAGGGAAAAACTTAAGAAGAAAATAATTTTATCATATAATGGAAAAATAACTACAATTATGTGTAGACTGTAGTAGTTTCAATTTAAATAACATAAAAATAATTTATTTAGTAAATAAAACTCATTTTTCTTTTTTTTATTGCCTTCCCGATTCTAAGGTTTAGTTTTGACTAATTCGGATTGACCCGCATCGCACACCTAATTTTGGTGGGTGAAAACTCATTTTTTTAGTTGATGCACTAAAAATGAATAAACGACGTCACATTTAAAATAGAGTGAAGTATACAAACGGTCTCCCGACTATAGAGTAATATTTTTTAGTTCCCGACTATTAAAGGTTACAGAATAGTCACTCGACTATTCATATGTTCTAAACTCATCATTTTCCATTAAAAATTGATGATAATCTAAGCTGAACATTAACATGTTGATTAAGATATGATAAAATATGATCCCAGAATCTTAAACAACTATCATATCTTAGTTATTATGTTAACGTTCAACTCATACTGTCGTCAATTTTTTAATGGAAAATGATGAGTTTGGAATATATGAATAGTTGGATGATCATTTTATAACTTTTAATAGTCGAGTGACTCAACAAATCAACACTTTATTGTAAAGAAAAATCATTTTATAACTTTTAATAATTAGAAACTTCAATAAAAAATACCTATAGTTAGATGACTATTTGTGTACTTTACCTTTTAAAAAGTAGAAGCCGAGTCTGAATTTTTTTTATTAAAAATGTCGAAATATTAGAAGATGATGTGTATGTGCACTCAAATTTAGGCATTTAGGCATAGCCATGTTAGTATTTACTACAACCACGTTTGCATTAAGAAACTGTTCTCTTGACCTCCTCCTTACCTATCACGTCCACTTTCATGTTGCCTTTATTGGTTAAGTACGGACTCATTTATTGTAATCAATGTTTTTAAAATCGGACCGGACATTGAATCGGTGAAGGTATTGGTTCATTGGTTCAACTGGGTTTAACTGCGGTTGAATCGGATTTTATATAAAATTATATATTTTTTTTAATTTTACATAATATTCAAAGCAATATTCATATATATGTAACACTTTTTTTAAGTTTATAATATTAAAAGGTATAAAAATATCATAAGTCATAACATGTATAAATGAAAAACCATAAAATCAAGTGGAAAAAAATGATTCAAATCAACTACAACATAATATTTAAGGTAAAACATATTAAATAATAAATATAATTATATAACTATAATCAAAAAAATAAAATTAGGGTTTAAAAAATCATAAAAAATGATGTCATTTAGTTTAATTGTTTTAAAAAAACAATCCCACATGGCTAAGAAACATAGAAGATTATCCCAAAAGTTTAAAGAGTAAAAATATGAGAACAAAACAATCCCACATGGCTAAGAAACATAGAAGAGCATCACAACTTACTTCTATAAATAATAGAGGTAATTTGACATTCAAAATCATAGAGCATTTTGGTGAGCACAAAGCGAACTATTATTTCGCTTCAATTGAGCTCAAATTTTAGACTTCAATTGAGCTCAAATTTTAGGCTTCAATCGAACTTCTAAATTTTTTTTTGAGTTCGAGCCTTTTCGATTTCAAGTTTTAATATTATATTTCTAGATGATAATTTTTAGCTCGTGAGTTTTTGAGTCGAGTTGAGCTTACTTTTAAAGTTTTCGAGTCGAGTTGAGCTTACTTTTAAAGTTTTCGAGTTTGAGTCGAGCTCAGCAATACTCGAATTTGACTCGGCTCGTTGAACAAACGACGTTGTTTGGTTTAATTTTTTAAAAAAGAAAAAAAGTGAACCGGCGGTTCAAACCGGTTTTGTCGGTTTTTAGCCGGTTTTTCTGGTTTTCAGCCGGTTCTTCCGGTTCTTTACCGGTTCTGTGCTAATCCGGTTTTAGGAGTTAATCGGACCGGACAGGCCATCGGTTCACGGTTCAACCGGTCGAACCGGCCGGTCCAGTCCGATTTTAATAACATTGATTGTAATCATGTGCTTTCGACTTATATTTTTTGCAATAGAATAAAATAACTATAAAATAATATTTATTTATAATATCTTGTATATAATAATTATTACATGATTTATTAATTAATTAATTCATATCGAGTATTGCAGAATCGAAATTAATCCTCTTAAGTCAGTATATTCTATTCACACACATCATGAATTTGGATTCCTAACTTTGTTTGAGTAATATAATACATAATCTCACTGGATTAAGTAGTTGTTGATTATTTATAATATTTGTTTTAATCGTTAATAATTCATACATCTTGTAAATGTAATTGTTTGAATTTAAAATCTCAAGGAAGAGTACGAACCAAACTACCTTAGTCGTAAAAAGGATTATTGTTATCTCTAGAGATCTCATGTTCAAGCATCAAAAGGTGTTTAAACTTAAATTGTCAAATGGATAAGAATATTTAGAATAAATATTACTTGTAATCACTTTAAATTAATAAAAAAATCTAAAGAAGAAACAACATTATATTTACCCCGAAATCATTTAATGAATTTTTAAAAACTTTTAACTCTTGTTTTCCTTACTTTCGTCCAATATACATACGATAAAGTAACTATAAAATTCTATTCCAGTTATTATGCCAAGAAATAAATTTTTTATAAAAAATAATATTTATAAAAATAAATAGAATGATAAAAAATATAAATAAATTTAACAGTCATCTGTGTGGTTCTCGTACTATAATCTTAATATCCGGCGAGAGTTAATTCATTTCAAAATTTGTCGTAGACAAACGGGTAGAACCGGAGATGATAAAAAAGATGAGCAGAAAGTAGAAAATTAGGCAAAAATAGAAACTTTAGTCTTTAAAAAATAAAAACGAAAGTTCAGCAATGTACGGAATAGCAGCAGAGATCCCATCCCCATAACCACAGTCATGCAAAGATAATTTAAAGGAAAGTGCAGGGGAAAATGGCCTTATTTATAAGTGATGGGTATCGGCTTCGCTCTCACTAATTCATCAATAAATAAGGAAGGCAAAGCCCGATGTAGGTGCCAGAACTACAACTTCTGTTTCAGTTTGGTAGAGACCTTTGATGGGATCGTCTTCCCAACTTTCTGTAAACTTTCCTCTTTGTCTCCCCCAAACACAGAGTAAAGAACGGCTGACTCTGCTTTATTACACTATTTGAAACACTGCCATGGTCCCATGTGTTCCTCTTCACCATATTGTCTAACAACACACTCTTATCCTATGTCTATTTCTCACTTTTTAATAAATACATTGCTTTTTAATCTGCTAAATAATGGGTCTTGAATCTAAATATGTATGGGAACATCAGTTCCATGATTGATAACTTGTATCGTTTAATATCACAACATGACATATGGTAATGATATATCTTTACTAATTATTTTTATATAATTTTAAGATATTTTACCAACGAATTCCTTCTATTCTAGGCATTGACGATTTTTTTAAAGGATTTATAGATATTAAAAAATCAATTTTAATGCGTATCTCAGGGTATGACCCAAAACCTCACGTCCTGAAAATTACAATAAACAAAGAAAACCTTTTCAAGCGGCTAGTCAGTTAGAAAGTTGCAGGAGCAGTGCATGGAAAAAGAAGCACAAAACTATAAAGGAATCACAAAGGGAAGGGAAAGTAATATGGCAAGCGGCAAAGCTTGGTGATAAAATTTCATGTCGGAAAGGGACCGACACACAAATTTACTCACCAAACAATTAACCCTTATTCTTTGCATGGGCAGTCTCAACTTTGTTGCTTCGCTCATCTTTTCACGTGTCATTCTTTAAAAAAAATCAAGTTCCCATGAAAACAGAGTGGTCCTCTATGTAAACGTAAATTCACGAAATGATTTAGAAAAAAAAAGGTGTGTTGAACATAGGTTAATCCATATGACACCTCGGTTCCCAGCTTTTGCATTGGTGTTGCTAATTCATACCATGTATTCAACTGAAGGCCGCACAATTGCCCCATAATATTCTCAGCACCAAATATTTTCGCCATAATTATAGAACTAATCAATTTAATTGGCTATGAATATGAGGAAGAAAGTCCATATATGCAAAAAGGAAAACAATTAATAAAGGGCCTAGAGTCAAAGTATCAACAACCCTACAATCTATACATCCCCTTTCTTGACTTTCAAACACCCCTATTTATTCTTCAACAACCTTTTCCATTAGAATAATCCAATGCTTACTTCTGCCCCCTACACCCTTCCATTAATACACTGCAGCCAGAAACCCAATAGAACTCCAAACATAAAATAAGTGAGACAAGCTGACCAGTATAACCCATTTCTCTAAAGCAAAAACCAAAGAAAAAGCCCTATTTTATATCATCTCTCTCTCCTCTTTGGACTCTTCAAACCTTCACTTTCTCTGTCACCATTGATGGAAGATTCTAATTAAACACCAACCAAGTATTGATACCCTTGTTTCCTTTTGCTTCTTGTTTGGGTGGAATTAGCTCGTACTTTGAGTAGAAAAGAAGTGTTTTCTTCGTTTTAGCATTTAAAATTGTAAGGAACGATATGGGGGAGTACTTTCAATCTTCCTCCTTCCATTTATTTTGATTTCCTTTCTTGTTTATCTTCTTCAAGGGGACTCCTGTTGTGGGTTTGGCCAGTTACGTGGTTTGTTTATCAAGAATGAAAATTTATTAAATGTTCTTTTTTTCTTTGGGAGTTGGGAATGCGTCATGACTATTTATTTAATTAAGGAAGAACAAATATCACAGGAGTAGTGAGGAGGCTTATAAGAAGAGATGTTAAATATGTTGGTCTAGAACAACAAAAGGGAAATTATATTTTTGTGTTTCTATTTTGGTTGGCTACTTTGGATTGGATATCTAACTTAGATTTTGGCCATTATCATCAGCATCGTCATGTCTTCATCAAACAGACACTGGCCTAGCATATTCAAATCCAAGCCCTGCAACGCTCACCATCAATGGCAGCACGACACCAACCCGTTTCTCATGTCAACTGGTTGCCAAAAAGCCCCTTACGCCTCAGGTAAGTGAGAACTGAGAACCTTAATCCAAGGTTTCTTCTGTTCTTGTTCTTGAACTATTCTCTGTCACCTGAAATCTTTCATACGTTAGACATCATGGATTTGTCTTTACCTACATAAATAAATGGTCGGTTATCTCATTAATTTGCTCCTTTTAAAATGATGTTCATAATTTTATGCTGACATGACCTTAATTAGGAAAAATATGTTTGTTTGAATTCTTCACAATATGTATACTATTGGATGCTAATGTTTTCTGCAACAGTTGCAGGATATGAAGAGCGTAGTCCGGAGCCGAAACCGAGATGGAATCCGAAACCCGAACAAATTCTCATACTGGAAGCCATATTCAATTCAGGGATGGTTAACCCACCTAGGGATGAGATAAGGAAAATCAGAGCTCAACTGCAAGAGTATGGCCAAGTAGGCGATGCCAATGTCTTTTACTGGTTCCAGAACAGAAAATCAAGAAGCAAACACAAGATGCGCAATCTCCAAAACTCTAAACAACAGTCTCAGCAGAACCAAAAAATCCCTCCCATCACTAATATTACCACCATCACTGCACCTTCCTCTTCATCCTCCTCATCCGAGAAGTCCTCGCCAAAAGGAGCTAACAGAAACAGTACTCTCTCTTTGAGTTCTGCAAATATCATTGACGTTTCCAACTCTGCAACTGCTTGTGTGAACCAGACCTACTTTCATCAGCCTCAGAACGAATTCTTGAACGAACCTTTTTTCTTTCCTATGCAACAGGCTTCTGCAGGAACCGGAATTACACAAGGGTTTGGCTTCTCAGAGCTAACCAATGTGATTCAAATCCCCGAACAACCAGTTGGACCCTGTACAAGCCTGTTGCTGAGTGAGATGTTAAGCCATGGGGATTCAAGGAAAGAACAAGAGGAAAAGATGAATATGCAGCTTCAGCTCAGTTACAGTACTGTGACCACTGCTCCTAGTACTCACTCTATTGCTCCTCATACTGCGTCCGCCAGTGCTACAATTACTGTTCCATCTAATATCCAACACATTCACGGTATTTTTCTTTTCACAATTGAGGATATTATTAATACGAGATTTATCTTTATTAGTAGATAAGATTAGTACAGGAATATATAGATGTTCAAGGAAGAGGATAAAAGCGTCATTTAGGACCAGGATTTGGGTTCATTTGTCTCTGGACGAACGTGTGCATGGCTTGTTTCTCTCTAGAAATTGACTATTGCTTTGGTGTTATACGTTGAGTGATTCCCTATTGGCAGGTGCTGGAGAATCGGCAGCAGTTGACCCTGCTAATCCGGGTAGATGGACAGTGTTTATCAATGATGTAGCGTTTGAGGTGACGGCGGGTCCCTTCAACGTGAGGGAGGCTTTTGGTGATGATGCAATCTTGATCAATTCCTATGGTCAACCCGTTCTCACGAACGAGTGGGGATTAACCCTTCAGTCCCTTCAACATGGTGGATGTTACTATCTGGTTCGCTCATATTAAGCCCCTTCTCCATCTAAGGAAGGTGGCTAACTTTGAAAATTCTTCCCTTTTAAGTTTTTTCTTTTCTGCATGTACTCAAATATGTATGTTTAGATTTACATATTCGAGTTCTACGGAGCATAATGGATATGCAGTACTATTTTTATGTTAGTAATGTGCATGACAACTTGTTTTTTCATAAAAGAGATCACTTAGGACTTTTTCCTCGTGTAAACGCTGGAAGCTTTCGCTTACCAACTAAGCTTGTTGATCATTGTGTTGTTTTCTTGAATTGCAGGTTTATAGATGTGGAAATGGAAGCTTTTTTCTCGCTCTGATCCCACCCTCGTTTCTCTCTATGTATAATCTCTATGTTGAAATTAGGTTAACTAGTCTTTAAGCCTCTCTCTCTCTATATATATATATGTGTGTGTGTGATGCTATGTAGTATGGACTATGGAAACTTTCCGGACAAATGTATTATCAAATTTCTTTGTTAAACAATGTGTATGGAATATATATTATATGCTATTTAGCTTTTGATGTGCATGAAATAGCCATAAAAGTTGCAAATTATAACTACTTTTAACTTATGGTACATTTTACTTAGCATGTTCACTTCGGAAAGTAAGGCTAAAACTCAGTTTTTCATATTATATATACTTACTCACAAATGCAGCCCTCTCAAAGTCTCAACGGTTGCAGATAAAAAGCAATTAGAGTGAAGATTTAATGGTTAACTTTTCCAATATTTAGGGTTCAGAGTGCTTTTCCAAGTTAAAATGAGTATTTGTTTTTTTTTTATAAAAAAAAACTATGTTTGTTTCACGCATTCATACTTTCCAGAATTCTATTGTTATACCTCATTAAAAATTTAGTATTCTTTTTACTGAGTTTTCAAAATCTAACACTACAATGTGCGCGTATGAAATTGTTGATATGAACCTCTTAATTGGCATGGAAGTAATAATCTCATCTCTCAGCAATTAAATTTGGTACATACCCAGCAACAAATATATAGAGTGATTAATTACCTCCTCGATGGTCATGAAAAAAAATTGAAAGCTGCTTTGACTTCCTTAATTGCTAGACCATTCAGCAACCCAAAAACCTATTGAGATTTTAGAATCTAATACATGAATGCAAGGCAGCTGTACTTCATGCAAGCAAGACTCTGTTCAAATGATCAATATTTTGGTTAATTAGAAATATTTTCGATATTTTAAATGATTAATTACTGGACCAATCAGTACATAGGTCATGTGGTTTTAATTTACGAGGGTAGTGTATATATATATATATATATATATATATATATTTGCGCTATTGTTATTGTCAACCCTTTGATTTTTGAAAAAGAAGAGATGTCAAGAGACAAATGAAATATATGAGAGATTTATCCAAAAACAAAAATAAAACATGAGAGACAGGATCATGATACCTAATGTACAACTAACGTATGTCTTGTGGGCTTCTAAATTTGTCTGTATAGTACAAATTTTCCATTCAGAAATAGGGTTTTACTTAGGATTCATCCAAATATCACACAACGTATTCAAAGCCCGTCTTCCATGTAAGCTTCGATCTTGTTTCAACTTTTAAAAACTCATTGCATTACGCGAATCTTAAAGACTGAAAACTCTGACTGACCCCCCAAAAAGGTTGGCCGGTCTAAACATTTCGCTGTCGTGTTTTCGTGTTGCGACAAATGAGCTATAAGCTATGAACCTGAGGAGTGGGTTAAAGAAGGAGAGAGTGGGTGGTACAGATATATGACATGCACTTTGATGAGAACAGTTTGGATTTTACAAAGCAAGTGTTGGGGTGTTTCAGAAAGATAAAAAGAATCATTTCCCTGGCTATTTCTAGTTTCCCTTGCGTCACAATTTGCAAAAGTGACTGTGGTTTTGCATGAACAATCGGCGATGATAATCATGACTGAGGGTGATGACAACTCCTTCCAACCCCAAAATTCAAACTTGGAATAGTTCCAAAGTAGATGGAGAAAGAAGCAACGGCGGTTGCAGGGTCAACAACTTTTGAATCTCTCCCACATGTTTCCCAGTGTGTTTAGCTTGGGGAGGTTCAGGAGGCTAAGGTTCATGAACAGGACACGTGGCGTAACAAGAGTGACTGGATTAATCAATAAGTGGGGATTAGGTGGGTCAACAGAAGGTATGATTGGATAGTGGTGGTGCTGTAGGCAGAGGTCTTTTTCTAATTATACTGCAAAGTTCAAACAAAACATAGATTGGTAAGGCTGCTGCTGCTAGGTTAGGCAGGCAGGATCTCACAATCCTCCACGTAATAATGGGACACATCACAATACATATATTTATGCTTCCATCAGAAGGACAAAGATTAAATTTGGCTTGATTGTTTGGATGGACATTTTGAATAGATTATCTACCAGAGATCGTTTACAAAGAATAGGAATTTGTACGGATGGACTTTGTGTTAAGTGCAGCACTCATTAAGAAACTAGAGATCATTTTTTTCTCATTGCTCCTTGGCTGTTAGTCTTTGAAAATCTATCCTTAACATGAATGGGATGAACTTTTCTGCTTTGACTTGGGATGAAATGGTCGCTCGAGCTTGTTCCTCTTGGAAAGGAAAGTCTCTCATTACCACCATTTTGAAGATTTCGTAGAATGCTTTCATCTACTTCTTATGGCAGGAACGGAACCAGAGAATGTTTCAGGGCCGGTTCCGAACTGCAGACGATCTACTTAAAGAAATCGTCGATGTGGTTGGAATCCGTCTTAGGGGAAAATCCATAAATAGACTAGAAAGTACTAACTTTTGCCTTTGTAATGCTTGGGGTATAGTCTAACCAATCATTGGTTGTGTAATTAGGCTGTTTTTGTTTATTTTGTTGATTGGTTGTAGCAAAACTTCGCTATTTTAGGTAATAAAATGTTGAATTATCCACATACAAAAAAGATTAAATTTGAATTTTTCCACAAAGGATTTTGGCTTAGTGTGAATTATGTGATTTAAAGGCGGTTGTATAGAGAAAAATGGTGTGTAAATTACTATAAAGGGGTTTTATTCGCTTGTTCAAATGGTTAAACAATATTTCAAATTGCATAGAAAAGAACCAAGTAATATATATATAGCTGTTTGTTTGATTGTTGCTGTGTCTGAAAGTGAAAATTGCAGTCACGATTGTTTTGTTGAAAACTAGTATTTCATGAGAAAAAAAAAAGGTGAGCCTTATCATAAATGAGTGCAATTCAACCATTGACAAGATGTGAGAATGTTTTTCCCTCTCAACATTAATCTCCTACTGGGTTTTTGTGAAGGCTAAACGAATTAGAACAGGTTTTCATAGAAAAACCGAACGTTTACATCTTCTTTAATGAGTAGTTTAGGCATGACACTAGATAACGTTTACATCTTTAATGAGTAGTTTAGGCATGACACTAGATGGACTGAAGCTATTCAGAATGCTGAATTTGGGGTGTCGAAGCTTATACCCCAATCCTCAAACTCAATAAGAAACTTTTAGTGATGCTGATAATGAAAGAGAAAACTAGTAGACTGATGAAGATAAATAATTTTGTATTTTTAAGTATACATTTTAAATGTAGACTTATGAATTACCAAATAAGTTTTGTATTTTTAAGGTATAATGTCAAAATTAACCCCCCAAACGTTTATTTAAACAATTATTTTTGTCCTCTATTCTTTATTGGAGTATTTTAGCATTCAACATTTTATTTTGATGCAAAAACCCTTCTATAGATGGAAATTATTAGTTAACACACGGCTAACACTCCACAATAGAGATCTTTTTACCTTAAAATAAAACATTGAAGGTTAAAATACTCTAGAAAAAAAAAACTAGAGTAACTATTCTGTCAAATGTTATTAATCTTTTTCTCTTAAAATAAAATGTTGATATTATACTTTTTTTTAAATGTACATTTTAGTTACTTAGTTGTAAGATAACACAGTAAATCATGAAGAAAAATAGTGTTTAGACTTACGGAAAAAAAAACTTTATTTTGTTAATTTTGCGTCCAAATAACTAGAATGATTAAGATTGATATTTAAAAACGTAAATTACAAGTTTAGTATCTAAATTATCATTTTTGTTTTAATTTGATATCTAAACTGTATTTTTTCCTAACATTTAGTTTAAGTTCTAATTTAGTATCCTACTATTAAAAATTAACAAAACTAGAGTGACATTCTTTTATTTTTTCAATAATAATGTGACATTATCTTACAGTGACACGTCAATATTACTATTAGGTTTTTAACGAAGAGATAACAACATGAAACTTGTATTTGACCCCTCATCACGAGAAATCGGGCGAAAATCCTGTATGAGGCAAACCTAAATCCAAAATGATTGACTAGTTCTGCTAGCATAAACCAAGTTATAAAGACTCGATGAATGTATTCCATTCACATAGACTCAGTTACAGACTGAGGTCATCTTTCATGAGCAGCTGAAAGACTTCGGTACAACCCTAGAAATATAATTTGCTTAAAGGTTTTCAAATGGTCTGAAGAAAAACAGCCAATTCTCTTGCTTGTCCAGAAGTTAGATCGAGGCATCAACCCAATAATACGAGCACTTCAATGAGCAAATGTGCTGTACAAATTTATGGCCACAAAAAATAAGAGCTTGACCTGGTTTTCGAGTAATTAACAACTTCAGAATGGACTAGTGAAAATGAAGAATCCACCCACCACTTCTTCGATAAAAGCTTTAGCAGATATATATAATAAAACTAGATGAATGGGTGTAGCTATTTCAGCTTTTTTATCCACTTTCTTTGACTATGTTAGATAATAACCACTTAAATTGTCAACAAGATAGTCGTACTGTAATCCATGTCCGCAATCAAACTTCTCACTTGATGGTGCCACCACGTTTTGAGTAGAATAATGATTTCCGACACAGACCTTTGCATTAGTTTTAGCCCTTCCTCTTACATAGCGTTTGTTGTCAGTAGGGAACTCTGCAGTGAGCCTTCCCATCTGCTTCTGCAGATCAGCGACTGTATCGTTTGCTGATTTCCCCTTCGCATTTTTCTTGCCATCAATGAGCTTCAATTCCAACCTATACAAGGCACAAACATCACATTTGTTGATTTCATATTCATAGAGGTGCAACTCAAAATGGTGTAATGGTTGTGGATCCATGTAGTATGATCTCTTTAGTCCTCCAAATTCATTCATAACTTGCTTCCTTGACTCATGCCAGCCACGCCCACTGTAATCCGGCAAAGACCTCTGCTTTCTGTTCCCACTTTCAAATGCTCTTCGAGGCTTATCAAAAAAGAGCCACTCCCTCATTGATTCACCCTCAAGAACTGAAAGATCAAAGAGCTCTGCAATCACAGGAGAAAATTAGTTAATTTCACAAGTCAAAAAGAATATCACATCTGATTTATCATGTTCTGTTCCCACTCATAAATGTTGCCACTAGAACCAAGTAAAGCAATATTAATAAGACATACCAGGAGCATTCCATGGAGACTTTGCAGTTGCAGCTCCCTCACATTCTGGTATACCCACATCTTTTCCTTGTGCCTTAGCACTGAGAGCAGCAAAGAGCAGTCCATCCTTGAGGCCTATGCCACCAGGTCGCAGAATCGGTCCCACTCCAGGCGGCCCTTCATTCATTGCTAAACTAGCATGAAAGCTACTACAGTAGTCTTGACACCAGTCCAACCCTTGAGCAGGCCTTGGACAATCCCAAAGTGCACACTTTGGACCTAAGAATGCAGATGGTGGCACTGGCAGGCATACACTTGGCAGATAGCTAGGAGTATGAAGCATGGCATCCTCCCCAACGAAACCTGTACCATTGTAACCTGTGTAGAAGTGTTCAAAATCCCGATGTAAATCAATCTGATGGTATTCCAATTGAGTAGCCCCTTCCAAGTTGTTAATTGGCATGGCATGGACTCCTGAAGGCGAATTTTTGCAATGATCAATTAATGGAAAGCCACGCTGATGCTGCCCCTGATTAACTCCATAACCCTGTAAGAACATGTTGATTATAAAACTTGCCGGTGAATGCCTTTTCAACATTATAGCATGCCAAAGAAAATGGAAACTGTTAACTAGAAAACATTCATGAAATATAATCAGAGAATAGCCAAAGGATTCTTTAGTGAACTTTAATGCAAAACTGCCAAAAAAAATGGTAAATAAAAGCCCTAGTAAGCTCAAATAAAGATCTAGGTACAAAAGCCTGCATGATGTTGAAGACGAGGAAGATAAACAATTATTTGTGCTGAGAAAGGATGTCTTAGAATGAAGTTCACTAGCAGCGCCTGTCCTATTCATCGAGTGTGCAACAAAATTAGTTATTAGAGAAACCAATAACATTATTGATGCTCTGCCACTTCCAAAAATATCATATATCCTCCCGTATTTATCACAGAAAAACCCAATTAGTTATTAGAGAAACCAATAGCATTATACTCAAGTTTAAGGTAACGAAATCCTGCTTACCACAACTAGAAGAGAATAACAAGCGTATTGTAGTAGCCTTCTCTAAGGAAAGAAACAAATTAGATACAGTCATCAAGCAATATGATTTTTCATCGTTTCAGTATTTCACTACATTCTAGAAACTATAACTATCTTGTATATACTATATAAACATATACGACTCCCAATCCCGTATGTACATAAGAATGAAACCAAATGCTTCAAACAAAAGAAATCTCATCCCTTCGGATGGAAAAATTAACTTGATGCTCATGTTGACCTGAGCTTATTGAATAAACTTGTTATCACTCCAATCATCATGAAAATTCCAAACAAAATAAACGGAAAAGAATCCAAGTACAAAGCGAAACTGCCTCTTGGAAAGCAGCAGTATCTCCTACTTGCAGGTTTTGATCATTAGGCTCAGGCTTTGGAGCAGCTAGTACACTGGTTGCATCATCTTCCTCCTCACAAAGCTGAAGCAGCCGACAAATGTCCGATGAAAATGAACCAGGACTCCCTCCCTGTAAGTCACATGAAGATCTCAATTATCAATCACAACATCATAAATACTGTTTTTCAACCTCTTAAGATCAAAACTAATAAGCATCTATCAAGGTACAATTTGTAAGAGGCAGATCACTTCAAACAATATACGTGATTCAAATGAAAAGTACATGTGCAGTGCTAACCTGTTGCAATGAAGATGCCGGAGAAGGTTCGTTGAGCTCAGCTTTCCATTCACGGAGCATCTGATGGACTTGCTCCTCAAGGACTACGACATCTATGCTGCGGCTGTCCTTCCTGGCAAATTGCAGATCCAAGAATATCCCCTGCAGGTCATCCACCCGGTTTTTTGCCCTGTCCTTGAAGAGTTTGTGGGATGCAGACTTGCAGTTGATTTTTGAACCTTTCCCCATTAAATAAACAACCCTCAACAACTCACACCAAGACCCTGCAATCCAAAACGCAATAAATCACAAACTTAAGATCAACCCAGATTAAATTTACTACAATCATCGCTACTCTTGTTCCTAAAATTTATACGTAAATTCCGGTTTACAACTAACAACAGTGGGAAAAAGAAAATCCCCATATGCGATCAAAGCAACTGAGATTCCCACGTTTGTATAACTTTTATTAATTAAAAAAAGGGAACCAAGCTAGAAAAGATTACTAAAATCATGATCGATAAATTTACATCATATCCAGATAAACTGAAGTCCTATGAACACATAAATATTAGAGAACAATTAAAAAAACTGAATTACATCTAAAAAGAAAGGCAACCCAATTTTCCAAGTACCTTAAAACTGAGATTACTTAGGCAGCACCATGTGAAAGGTAAATAGTAGAATCAAAAGAGATGTAAATAGTTTATCTAAGAAAGCTAACCAGAGAGTGATCAAAGACACCGAAGTTCCTCACTTTGAATGCAGCAAGCGCCGAGGCAAAGTAGATTAAGAGCAATAGAGAAAGTAAGCGAAGGGAAATGACAAAAAGAAAGATAGAAAAGTAATTTATTCGATGAAACAAAAAACTAGAAGAATAGATGCTCGTTACGTATAGTCGGAAATTTTATTTTCGGTAATATTTTATTACTAATTGTAGATTTTTTGAGTATATTATCAGGGATGTCATTACATTTCTTTCCTTAGGTATTATAACATTACCGGCGTTTTGGAGTAAAATGTTCTTAAATTTTTATTGTTTTTCAAAAATATTATTATTATGTTATTAAATAATAAAAATTCTATGAAAGTTAAATTATAAATTTATCCTTAAATTATTTTAGATTTACAAAAAAAAATCTATAATTAAAATTTTATATGAAGTTCAAGAGTTAAAAAAAATTTTACCCTTTCATTAAACATTTTTTATATTTTTAATTTTGTAAAAAAAATTATATAAATATTATGAATTTAATTTTTTAAAGAAAATATATAAATATTTTACAATTTGTAATATTATACAAATTTATAATAAGGACAATTTGGTCAAATATATATTCCAATAATATTTTATTCCTTTAACCAAACACGGTAATCTTACATTCCTGCTAAACCAACCAAGCACAAAATACAACATTCCCAGTAATCCTATTCACTGGTAATCTTTTATTCTCACTGATAATCTTATATTCCGTGAACCAAACGCACCCTTAGTCCTTTGTGTTTTTCTCTTTGGGTGGAATTTTGCTTTTTGAGTTTTCTTTTTGTTTAATTTTATTCACAAATCTCATGAGGAAAATATAGAAAAATTTTCGATCTTTCTATTTATGAGAATTTTTCCGAACATGATAATATAAAAACTATCCTCTTATTATGAATATTTGTTATTTATATTTATTTTTAATTATGAAATTTTCATTTTATACTTTTAATTATTTTAAAAACTATTTAATTTATATTTTTTTATAATTAATCTATTTACCAATCAATCTGACTTAATATTGCAAGAAGTTTATATAAGGATATATGAACAATCCTCTAAATCAGATATTATAGTGATTTATACAAGGAGATACTCCTAATTTAATTTATTTTTTATATTATCAAGATTTAAATAAAAATAAATAACACTTTATCTAAATATATTCATTGGTATTAGTAACATTTTGTTTTAAATAAAATATAATTTTAAATATAATTCTTTAAAGAAAATATGATATTAACAATAAATAAATTGTAATTAATTAACAATATTTTTAATGACAAATAATTATTTATATTGACTTTTTTTTTAATTTTCATCTTATATTATTTTCAGGGGTTTTTTCCAATTAAATCCTCATTTTGTGTGTGTTTTTTAATATTTTCATCAACAAGAATCATTATTGAAACGTGGCCTAAAGCCAATGAAATTAGCATCGTAGACATTAGTTTTCTATAATTTGGATATAGATTATTGGTTTCTTAACAAGGAAATTAGTGATTTAGCTTCTATAAGAAAAAAGTGATTTAGCAATGAATAATTGGTCGGCGAAAAAGAATATTCTATTATTATCATATTCTATTTAAACTTTATAATTTAGAGTAATAGGATTTAAAATATAGAGATTAAAATTTATGATCATTTAAATATATTAATAAAAAATAAATATATTTGTAAAATATTTATTTGTTCAGCATAAAATAATAATTAATAATTTACCATCAGTTTAGGAAAATTATTACATATTAGTGGAGTTGAGAAACTTCACAATATTAAATGTTAGTATAGAGAGTGTAGCACAACAAATAAAAAAATAGAAATATGATATTTATGTTGTAAAAATATCACATTGATAATGTATCAAATACTAACTTTTATATTTATATTGTAAAAATATTAAGTTAATAATATGATTTTTTATTAGTCTAGGATAAATATAAGGTAATATTTGTTTAAAGACTCTCAATCATCTAATATTGAATGTTCATATCATACACCTTTGCATACGTGGTGGTCGAACCTAAACCTTTAAGCAATAATAACAATTCTTTGACCCCAAATTATTTGATTCGTATAATTAATAATATGATATTAAAATTAAAAGTTTTTTTTTTTAAAAATGATACATAGTGTTCAAATCTCATCTTAAATATTATATATTAACATTGAAAAAATCATTTCAAGTTTAAATAAATTAGAGAAAGACCTAGAATTTTGTGGTTTCACACATTTATCAGAACAAATTTAATAATTTGTAATCCACATAAAATTTAAAAACACTTCATATATATCCAAATAGATTTTCATCATAAATAAAAAATCATTTTCTGACCTTAAGAAAAAAAAAAAAAGGATGATCCCTTTTTGTAACAGTGGGGGTTAGAAAGCGAAAAACAAGTTGGGCAAGGAAGGCATAACGATAGGTCCCACTAACAGCAGCCCATCACCAGATTCCTTTATCCTTTGCAGCTAAGATCAAAGATGCCTCTCTTTCTTTCACATTTAATAGAATGGGGATTACAGTGTTTAAGAAGAGAATGACTCGCTATTCAAGATAAGCACACCATTAATTTCCTCACCAAACTGACCAAAGTAGTATTCATTTACAACCCTTCAATCACTCACTAATAAACACCACGAAATTCTCCATCTATTGACTAACATAAATCAGATCAGCTAATATGTATGCGTGAAAAAAATAAAATTTGTGAAAAAATGGTGACTCATCTTGATCTATATGGCTCCTCGGAAAAAAGGGGAAGCTGTCAACTTAAGAGAAAGACTAGCTTCTTTTCCACCCAAAGAAGTGTACAAATTTTACACCTCACCAGATTTAGTACAAAGGAACGCCACAAACACCAATCAAATATCAAAGGCTATGACTCCTCAAAATTCCAATGCCTGAAGTCTAAAAGTACCCAATGCTTATCAGCCAAGTTCTAAGGCACAAATGAATCTATACCGACACCCCACACTTGGCACATGTAAGCATGTGCTCATTGTGTGGGTGTCAAAGAGTTCTAGACAGGGCAAATTTGTTCTAATGATAGCTTCACACTGCAGGCAGAGCTGTTTTTCAGTAAAGTTATGGCAAAGTTAATAAACATTTCAGTTCGTAGAAGTAAACTAGAATGATGTCATGTCAACCAACATCCTTGAATATACTCATAAAAGCATCATAGATACAAAATCTCTATCTCTATATATGTTCTTTTCAGTAATGTTTAAAACAATGGTTTTAGTTGTATAATCTTTACAATGAACAATTGAAACCAGAATACAGTCCAAAAAGAAGGCTCAATGTTGAAAAGAATGAAAAAGAAGAACGATTCCCTTATTAAGATGTTGATTAGAGGCCTGTATTGGAATCAAAAAATTAAAACTCAACTTATTTGCCAAGTCACCCGTTTACATCATGCTGGTTTTGCCAATTTTTCCCCTTGGTCCATATTAGCATGTTTCAATTTGAAAATACCACCGAGTCCCTGTTGCTTAGCAAGTTGCTCCAGTTCTTCAAGTTTATGTCTAAGAAGTTCCACTTGTGTAGCTAAGTCTTCGTTTCTTTTCTTCATTGCCTGAAATAATAATGAACTGGACTTGTGAATTACAGGAATTAGAAAATCAATTATTCCCCAAGTAGGAAATGCAAAATACTCATCACCATGCTTCTTTCATAGATAAAGAAACCTTTCAAGATATTCATGCATAAATAAGTCATAGATTAAACCTACGTTGTTCGGATTCAGACGAGTCTCAGATGTATGTATGTATCTAACACAAGTATGTTCAAATTCTTTTAGAACCTTTTCAGTGTATTTGGAGGATAATTTTCTGAGTATGTGTTAGACAAGGGACATGTATGTCAGACACTGGTACTGCAAGAAAAATGAAGACTTAAAGTAACAGAGGATTAAAAACCGTCTTGGTTAGCATCATGTTAAAATCACCTAGAGAAAGAAGCAACAACAAAACAAAGGAGATTGTTCAATGAATACCTCCAACTGTTCTCGACGTGCTTCCTCCTTTTTGGCCTCCGATCTAGAACTTCTTTGAACCTCAAAGATCAAGATAGCTCCTGCAACCTATATGCAAACTCCAACATGTACAAAATCATAAGCCTTCACGAGCTCGACAAGAGCAAGTATGGTAAGTTTTGGCATTTCATGCAAATACCACCACTTCATAAACACATTAAGTGCAAGAACAAATCAAGTATGAAGAGGCAGAAATACCAACTAAAGGGGCAAAAATCCTTCAATGTTACCAAGAATATCCACTAGTTGCTAAACCATAGGCTATCATACATATTCTACTCGATAGAACCAGTGACATATCTGGAATCTAGTTAGACCACAGTTAAAAAATGATGCTAAATATTTAAATGCAATGTTTATACCATGTGCTGAGGAGGGGGGGGGGATCTACCAGGTGAGTGTATGTTTAATACAATGTATTGGCAGGCAGTACCATATGTAGAACAGTTTTTGTTAGGTATACAAACAAACAGCAACATACATGCAATTATATATGTGCGTGTGTGTGATTTTAGCATGTTTCCAGCTAGGGATAACAGTAATAGGAATAACAGCTAGGGAACAACTAATACCGTGAAGACAAAAAGTTCCCCAATAAGATCTACAGCAGCCTGAACAGCTTTCTCCTCATCCAAGGGGCGTATCTCAACATCTGTTGCATGACTGTAAATGCTTCTTTGCATTCTAGTTGTGATTTGATGGTTTGCCTAGTTCCATACATTGGCACTGGGATTAATATTACGAAATCTATAAATTTGCAGCAGAAACATACACTAGCAGTACCATACTGCAATCTTGATAAACATGTTGTGAAAACTTAGCCCATATAAGAAACATAACTTCATAGCTTAATTTAAACGCAAGTGTCAGACAGTGAAGGGAACATAAATTATTAAAGTATCAGGAGAAAATAAACGAGAGGAGCAAGAGACAGATCACACAATTTGAATTCAATGTATCAATGTTATGGAAATGCATATTTGAACACTGGCAGTAAGAATTTAGAAAGGCAACACTACAGATTCAAATTACTAAAAAGGAGTTAATAATCTAATGGCAATATATGATTGATTCCATCCTTCAACCAAAAGGGATCCTCGTGTTAGGTAACTGGCTAAATATTTTAAATCAACTTCTTAATTAGACACAGAAGAAACATTAAGACCAAGAATGATATACCCATGATTTATCATCCCCTTCTACAGGCATTTAATTACAGTTTTTTATATTCGCACTCTCAGTCAGCATAAATGTGTAGATTATTTTGCAGAAGCAGATTTTACACAAATGTTGTGCTATTACTTAGTAAACTCATTTATTATAAGATTCCACCGTCAAATCCCACGCTCACAAGAATCTATCTCCAGAGCAAACAAGAAAGATTGGTTTTGAAAAGCGTTGGAAAAGCAAGCCCTTATTAGCTTTAACCTTCCAAATCAAATTGAAAAGAATCAGGAAACATAAGAAACAAACGAGTAATTATGTACCTGAGCAATGCTAACGATGAACTGGCGGAACTTAGGGGCATACGCAGCCTGTCGCTTGAGACGATAAGCCACCGGTTTACTCAGGGTTTTTAAGGCCAAAGTTCCTAGCTTTAACAGCGGCAGTACCATTTTTTATGATCTGATTTTCTTTATATTTCTTTTTCGATTAGTAATCAGACGAAGGGAACGCAAAACTTATTAGCGAGAATGAAATGAGAAAATGGGTGATCGCTGCTGGTTTGACTTTGTCAGGGTCAAAGTTTCTTGAGAAGGAAGAAAATTAGACCTTTTTTTTAATCGAACTCCCACCAAAGTGGAATCTAAAAGTAGCCGAGACGTAAGAGCGTACATTTGCAGATGCTTAGGGTACGATGGATGGGTCTAGGGGTGTAAACGAGCCGAGCCGAGTTAAGTCGAGTTTATTTTGAGTATTGTTGAGTTTGATTCGAAAATTATGAAATAGAGTTCGACTCAAAAACTCGCGAGCTTAAAATTTTCAAGCTCGACTCAAACTCGAAATCCTAAACTAAAGCTCGTGAGCAGTTCGAAAATGCTCGAAATGAAAAAAATTCTTAAACTTAACTCGATTGAAGTCTCAAACTCGAACCTGAACCTTAAATACATAAAAATTTTACTGTATTTTTTTTAAAAAATTAATACATAAATATTAATATTATTAATAATTTTTTTAAAAAAATAAAATCTTAATATATTATATTTTCGAGCTGCTCACGAGCTTTTCGAGTAGAATATCAAGTAGCTCGTTTCGGTTCATTAAGAACTCGAGTCGAGCTCGAGCTAGAGTCGAATCTATTCGATCCGAGTATTTATCGAGTCTTGATCGAGTCAATCTCGAGTAGCTCACGATCTGTCTCGTCTCATTTACAACCCTAGTTGGGTATTGAAACTCTTGGCCAATTTTATCCAAAATATTTCATTCTCTTCATTGAGTACGTATAACCTACCTAAAAATCTGAAATCATATGTTTATCGTCCAGTAATACTACCCAAATTAAAATTTTAATTTTTTTAATAATCATCGGTTTTCGATTTATTAATAGAATATTAATCCGGGTCGGTTATTGCAGAGGCAAAAGCGACTCTCCTAACTCAGTTTACTCCATTCACATACGTCATGATTTGAACTCCTGGTAAAGGATGGCAGCAGAGTTATGAACGTTGCTCATCGTTGAAGAATCGAGCCTAGAAAGATTTAGACTAAATCAAAGAAATAAGGGGAAATAGATGGAGGGACAATAACAAATAAGGTTTTTTAGGGTTTTCTGGAAATTGAATAAGAAGAATAAGAAGAATAAGATAAAAACAATAAAGATAAAATAAAGATAAGGGAAAATAATAATAATAATGTGATAAGAATAACTTAGTCAAGTTAGGGTTTTGTTAGTGATGGACGAGAATGGTGATTCGATAGATAGTTGTCCTACGAACCCTCCTAGATGTAATTAACTAGGCAAACTCGATAATCGGCTCTAACCATCCCTCCTAATCGCAATGAGAAGGCAAATTGGAGTGTGAAGATCTCTCTCATAAAGAACTTGAAAGAACTGAATGAAAATAATGCTTCGAAGGCACAAGACAATCAACACTTGTAAAAACGAACAATCGTTGTATTATTAATCAAAGAAATCCGTCTTTTCAGAGTTGAATGAAGCCTCCTTTATATAGGTGATGAGTCCTTGTTGTAACATGACTAATGAATAAAGATAATGTTTCGATTATATCCTAATTCCTAATAAAATAATAATAAACTAAGAATAATGCTTGAATTCAATCTTAATTCCTAATAAAATAATAAATATAATCCTAAAAGATATTGCATCATCCTATATTAAATTATATTACAAATAATCAATAAAAATATTGAAAATTTGTAATATTTATAAAATCTCGTATTAATCCAGTATAGGAATTTTTGCATGCGTTATCTATAATAAAATGAACGTATCTTGAGTTCCCGATATCGGATTGATGCGATTCAAAAACCATTGGAAAGCTAAGAGACATACGGTCATATTTCTAGATAAATGTTGACCGAATAAAATCAGGATCCCATTCGAAAAGTAGTCACAAGTCTATTGTTCTGTTATTGTTCTTTTCCAAGGCTTGTTCGTGTAGATCAATTGGAAGTGCTAGTCTATCTTCCTTTAATGTGAGCCTTTTGATGTATGTATCATCCTCCCTTTCTTCAAAAGGATTCGACCTCGAATCCAGTAGATGTGTAACACCCCAACCTACATCTGACCCGGATCCGAGTCCGAGGTGTTACATTGACTTTTCAAAACGTTTTCTTTACAAATTGGTAAAAATTTAAATCCATAATTCAAGAAAATGAATAATTTTCATTAATTAAAACATTTGGTTTTACAAAACCTATCAGAGCATAATCAATACAATTTTCTTAGTACATGCCAACAAAATATAACAATGTACACATGATTCAAAATTCTTTACTGATTTGAACTTTGTAAAAGAGATGTTGACCTGTCTTTCTCCACTTAGCTTCTCTTCTCGCTTTCTAGAACCTACGTGTGAAACACTCACATGCTAAGTCGATGACTTAGTGAGGCATATAAACATATAATGGGAACTTTAACTTATAATCATGCATGAACAATTACTACTATCATATCATACACAAGCATATATCCATTCATATATCAAATTCATAAATGTACATATATAATTATCTTATTTCCTATCATTATCATATGTTTATTATCATTGATACCTCTTATCGTATAATCATGTACTTATCATTTATACACATCATATAATACATATATCATTTTACAAAGGAATACATATATTATCATACTGTTTCTATAATTCATCTTATGTCACATAAGTATATACAACATACATATATAAAGTATTTATTATTATCTCTATCTTAGCCCATGTACACATATGAGAACTAAAGATATGTGAGTACTTTGAGGTTGTGCACACATATGTTGTCACCACAGCTCGTATAAAATCCAATAAGTGATATGAAATATGTGTCACGAAGGATCTATCTATATGTTCCGAAGAACATAGGTAACTGTCCATATGTCCCGAAGGACATAGGTAAATTGTCCATATGTCCCGAATGACATAGGTAACCCTCGACTCTTAGCATGTCAACTATACATCTAGCTCTCCTTTCACATAACATTGGCATTCTCTTTCATAATACTTCACATATTCTCATAGTCATATCTCATATGCTCATAGGTTTTTATCATATCATTCACATAGCATCGCTTATCTTTTGTGATCATGAAATCACATAACTTTGAATCATATTTTTCATATAACTCATATAATCCTTTCATATAGTTCATATATCATTTTACCTTATAAGTAAATACTACTTATTTATCTCACATTTCCATTTATTTACTTAATTATTTATACCAGTTCACATGGTCTATTACACAACTTATATCACCTTTTCATTTATTACACTTATCTTGTCACATAACTTTTATCTTATCATCATATCATTACATACAAGAACATGTCAACATATATAATCATGCATTCATTCAAATCATATCATTCACGTACTTATAATCATAAATTCATGCATCATAATATAGGGAATAGACTCATCGCAAGTCTTATTTCCCTTAATCACTATATATCAACCAATATGCACTCACCTCGGCCTCACTTGCTATCAATTACCCCTATGACTTCTGTAACACCCCCAACTCGTACCCGACCCAGATACGAGTCCGAGATGTCACATTCACTTTTTAAAACGATATTCTTACAAAATATCAAAACATTTGAACTCATTTTAAGAAAATACGATCATATATTATTGAATTGTATTTATTATAAAATTTTAAGGTAAAAACATATTTATGATCAATAAAATACGGTATGAACAATACATTGAACAGTACCATAAACTGTACCATGAACAATGAAAAAATTTTGAATATAAATTATGAAAAATTACCATTTACATATACACATTTAAAACATTACAAAACTCAATCATATGATTTTACAAGCCATTTGGAGCATATATTATTCATATCTCTATTACATGCCAACCACTATCATTATTACCAAATACATACTATTTAATTCTTTTCTGATCTAATCTTTGGAAAGGAGGAACTGACATGTCTTGCATAATCTTTATCAATCTTCCTCTTCTAGAAACCTACGTGTGAAACAATCACACGCTAAGTCATAGACTTAGTGAGGCATATAAAACATATAATAAAACCATAAAACATTTCATATAATTAAATGTATTCGTATACCTAACTGATCATTTCCATCCTTAACTCATTCCATTATCATTTATATCTCTTAGTCATTCTTAATTAAACCATACACATTTTATTTCATAAAGAATCACACATAACATCCTATAATCGTTGTAATCCATTTTTATAACATATCACACATACACATATCATATACAATATATTTATATTATTGCTTTATTAGCCCATGTATATTTTTGAGAACTTAAGGTATGTGAGTACATTGAGGTTGTGCACAAATGCTGTCAGCACAGCTCGTATAAATTCCCACTAGGGGGACTGAATATTTGTCCCGAAAGACCGCGTAGAAATGTCCCGAAGGACCACATATCACATATGTCCCAAAGGACCACTCCTTAAGAACCATATACATTATACAATAGACCAAATAAGTGTACCGAAGTACCACATACATGTTCCACATAATTACATATATGTCCCGAAGGAACACGTAGAATTGTCCCAAAGGACCGCGTAGACCCTCGACTCTTGGCATGCCAACAATACCTCTAGATCTCATGACACATAACATGAGCATTATTTTTCATATTTATCACATATTCATATCGGCACATAGTTCACTTACACGTAGAACATTTTCATATGATTCATATTCATATGTCACATAGCTTATACCTTGTCTTTATGTCTTCTCATGGACATATATTCTTTCTCACGTAGTCACATAGATCCGTATCATATAACATATATCACATGTTCATGTAATCATATAAATCATATCATATAACTTATATTGTTTCTCATGTGTTTATGTAAACATGCATGTCATATCTTGTTAGCATATGTTCATATATACATCATATATAACATATTGCATATTCATGTAAGCATGTAGATCATGTAACCTATAATAACATACACCCATTTCCATATACTAATGCACACATAAAGATCACATGCATTTTAGAAATTACTCCTTACCATAATAACTGTAACACCCCCAACCCGTATCCGACCCGGATACGAGTCCGAAGTGTCACATTGACTTTTCAAACATTTATTCGTATAAAATAGTG